CGCTCGCTGGCTCCTCCCTCTCCGAGAAATGTCTGGGTGAAAACACTAGATTTTAAGGTATAGTAATAAATAATACCTCAGACTAAAGTTAGGATAATATAATTGACATTGCTGGATTCCTTGCAAGACCAGAAATATTTTGAATATAAACGTCATATATTTTGCACAAAAGATAAAATTTTTGCTCTTTGTAATCAAAATTCTTACATTAGATCTAAAATTTGCATGTCTAATGCAAATTCCATGATGTTTATATTTAAAATAATCACAATCTTATAAGAATTCCAGCAATGTAAATTATATTTTGGCCGGGTAATTTGTATGAATTTTATGAGCTAAAACAAATATCTTCAGTAAATAAACAAATTATACTTCACCCGCGTAAATGAGTAAATTCACCGCATAAATCGGGCATCCCGGTTCTGGCAAAGTACCGCGTAAATGACCAAACGCGTAAATGACCAAACGCGTAAACGAGAACCACGTAAATCGAGGTTCAACTGTATACGCTTTTGAATCAGTTGAATCACTAACTTGCAGTATAATATATAATTCTTGTACATATAGGACATACAGTATTTACCACAAAGTTAGTGATGCTGTTGATGGTTGATTTTTCAAGTCATTTTTCTCCATCAAAACTATTGCTGAAGCATCTTTCTCTTGATCTTCCAAAACTGCTAGCCTGTCTTTCAAGCTAAACTCCTTTTTGGCCCTCTTCTGTCTTGATTTTGAAACTGTCATGCCTTTGGAAGCCTTGGTAATTAGTCCACAAAGTCACAAATAGTCCACAGGAGTTAAGAGATGCACACTCGAGGGGTGTAGCAGCACGACTGGCTTGTAAACAAAGCAGTTGGGGCTGGTATTCGTGTGCACCAGATGGCAATCTGGATTGCCATCCATATTTTTCTTGGTTAATCCAGACCTTTTCCGGATTAAATAAAACCCTCGGGAAATTCGCTTAATATGGGCTGGATTTTCCCCAATTAGTCCTATTAAGAAGGTTTTACTGCATTACCTTTTAGTCCTTCATTATCTCCTGTAACTTCTTTCATTAAGAATTCTGAATATATATTATACAATGTTGGAGATAAAACTGTGAACCAATTAGTAACACTGCAGCCAACTTTTTCCGATATCTCTACAAGTTTATTGTGCTTTACCTGTCAAAGGCCTTTTCAAAATCAACAAAACAGATACATTAATGCCCCGTTTTACGCGGTTCTCATTTACGCGTTTCTACATTTACGCGGTACCCCGCCAGAACCGGATTCCCACTTTACTCTGTGCATCTACTCATATACGCGGGAAGCGACGCGGGCAGGGTGCACACAAGGTCGCCCAGTCATCAAAACATTACCAAGTTCTTCACCCGCCACCCATCACAGCCGGCCCAAGTCAGTGATAGTGAGGATATGGACTTATATGGACTTTGAGGGGTTTGACAAAGAGGCCCTGCAAGCCTCTGTGGTGGATAGTGATACAATTGATACAAGTGCTACAGGTGAGGGTCAATAATCTGCCCTCTGCCTCGGAACCAATGCCCCATCCCCGTGTGCCCAGCCATCTTTTCTACTAATGTAAGTGTTGAAAAACCTAATATTATTGATATTTCTCTTAATTATTAATTGTGTGTGCATACCATCATAAAATTAAGATGTTATTTTTACTACAACATAGGTGTTGTGTCTGAAAAAGTGGAGTTTGGGAGTCGGCCCTGTCTCTATTGCAATTAATCCCATATGTTCTGTTATTCCATTTACGCGTTTCTTGTTTTACACGGTACTCCGTGGGTTCAATTAACCGCGTAAAACGGTGTATCACTGTATACAAATTTTGTTGGACCTTTAAAACTCCTTTCAATCAAAGTTCTCAAACCAAATATAACTTCTCTAGTTCCTTTCTCCTTTTAAATCCATTTTGCTCTTGAGATAACTCACTTTCTATTCCAAACTTTATTCTTTTTAAAATTATGTTTAATAAAACTTTATAGGCATGACTTATTAAGCTTATTGTTCTAAACTGGATGCACTCTAAGGCTCCTGGGAAGGTCTCCTTTGAAATACTGTACACCCTATATAGAATTACATATTTTAGTCAAACATTTTATCCCATTCTTGCCCATTTGTTTTATAAATTGTGCTGGAAGCTGATCAACACCACAAGCTTTATAATTTTTCAATTTGCTCACAGCTGCCTCAAGTTCTGTTTCCAGAATTGGCATTTCGATCTTTCTTTCTTTTATGTTTCGTACCTTTACCCTATCCTGTTCACACTGCTCACAGCTTCAAAACAACAGTCCACATAACTTACAGTCACAAAAACACAGAAAATATCACTTCACAGTCACCATAACATACCATAGTTAAATTTAAATGTTAGTGCTGTCCTCTCACTGAAAAACAAAAAAAACAAACACTGGTGATAAGTACAATGTAAGATGCTGGCTGATAATCATGGAGCCATGCGATGGCGGGTTTTACGATTGACACAAATCCAGACACGGCTGTAGTGTATATTGCTGGAATCCTTGCAAGATGGCAATTTATTTGAGTATAAACAGCCCATAGTTTGCAGTAGAGGAAAAAATTCCTACCAATGACTATCGATGGATATTCGATGGATATCATTAAAGCGAGTTGTTTTGATCGCGTGAAGGGAGATGGTGTTAATTTATAACCATCGTTAAAGTGAAATATCGCATCTCGGGGTTTACATGATTTAAAAAGATACGAATGACAGTTACATGTATACCCTAGTACTATAAAGGTATCTAATAAGACTAAATGCAAATATTTCAATATTAGTGTGATACAAACTGTATTACTTGATATTTTCAATAAAATCTTCTCTCAGAAAATTTGCTAATTTCAACATAGAGTTGCATGTACACTGATTTAGGGGATGTTTGAAATCAGTTTTTACTCGCACCTGGAGTTTTAGGTATTAATTTTCGATAAGTGTATGCATGATGCTTTATTTAATAAAATCTGGTTCAATGTAGAGTTTGATGTGCTCAGAATCAGTAAAACTAAACAAATATATGAAAATTCCCAAAATTTAAAAAATTCCCAGGCCTTAAAGATTCCCAGAAACTTTCTATTTTTTTGCAACCCTAATCTGTCCATTACCCTTTATTTGTACATTATATAATAATAATAATAATAATAATAATAATAATAATAATAATAATAATAATAATAATAATAATAATAATAATAATAATAATGGTTGCCCCATGTGTACAAGGTGGCTGGCTCAAAGGCCACCTAGGCATGAATATGTAAGGTGGAGAAGCTGTTACCAACACAAAAACCACACCCTAATTTATAAAGTTGCATGGCCCAGTTAGCACTGGCTAACCATTACCTCAGAACACAATCTGCAAATTGGTTAACATCCAGGTTACCAATTATTGCTGGGTAGACAGAGGCAAATGGCATAAAAAAGACTTGCCCAAAGTTTCATTCAGCCTAGGAATTAAACTCGGGACTACTTGTTTGCGAGGTAAGCATGCCAACCATTACATCACACCATACATTCCAATCAATGGCTTCAGTTTTCTTTATGCTTTACACAATATGGTTCTCTTCAAATCATGTTAAATTCATGTTTATAGTTAAATACAGATACAGTATAGTCTGGATTTATGCAGTTTTTGTTTACGCGTTTGGTCATTTACGTGGTGCCTTGCCAGAATGAAATGTTTTAATTATGCTGTAAATTTCATCATTTACGCGGCTAGCGACTGGAGAGGTCCAGACGCGCCGCTCCATTTTTTACTCAAGCGGTCCATTCTTGACCATACGCTGGAAGCGGCACGGTGAAGGGTGCGCATTAGGTCGCTCTTACGTTATCGCTGACGTCATATGACATATCGGACTGTGATTGGGCCACGCATCCTTACCACCCACGCATTCCCTCCACCGCTAGCTGTGATTGGTCTAATGTAACATGACGTGCCCTGCCACCAGAAGTCGCTGACCTAGCCGGGCCAGTCTCATTGTTCTCAGTCCGCGTATACAGTTCTCTCTTGTGCCCGCTATTCCCCTCACAATGGCTTCCGCTGGACCCCCACCACCCCAGAAAAACCTTGAATTACCTGGACCAAGCCATGATTATGTGAAGGAAATCATCGAGTTGGGGGAGAAAATTAAGCTCATCCTTGACAAAGACGCAGTCAAGCATTGGTATGAAGTGTCTAATAACCTTCTGTCGAAAGTTATGGAGCTGTATGCCCAGATCTATCACGACAACATCAATGCTAGTCGTCAACGTAGTATTACGGACTTCTTCGCCCGCAACCCATCCACAACCAGCCCAAGTCAGTGATAGTGACAGTGAGGATATGAACTTTGAGGGGTTTGTCAGGGAGGCCCTGTAAACCTCTGCGAGTAGAGAAAGTGATTCACCGGAGGGCAACTAATCTGCCCTCTGCCTCGGAACCAGCCGCCATCCACGTGTGCTGACCCATCTCTTCTACTAACATAAGTGTTAAACACCTTTAGATTTGTAGTTTTTTATTTAGATATTATGTGTGTAGCAATACCATCATAAAATTATGATGTTATTTTTACTACAAGGTACGTATTGTGTCGGAAAAAGTGGAGTTTGGGAGTCGACCCAGTCTCTATTTCAATTAATCCCATATGTTCTGTTATTTCGTTTATGTGTTTCTCGTTTTATGTGGACCTCCACTGGTTCAATTGACCGCGTAAATGCAGACTATACTGTATATTGTATATCCCTTGTTTAATCATATTCACTTAGCGATATTTTGGTTTAGGGATATAAAATTTTAACACCCTTTCTGGTATGGCCGGAACTTTGAAAATATCACAGTTGGTGTTATTAGATTAATGGCTAGGTTAATACATAAAGTAAAAACAAAAAATGTACAATATTTGTGGACTTATCACATATATTTTTCTGTATTATGGTTCATGTCATACCAAATATTCCAGATAATTATTATTATTTTTTTTTTCCTCAACATGAAGGCCAGAAGAGATCGTTCAAGATTGATAACACAGGGGAGAACTATACCTTAATGGTCTTGGAACAGATTGACAGGGAGAAAGGATCAGCATATAATGTAGGTATTTTGACCAATTTTCTGCTGTCTCCTTACTTTCTTGTTTGCCAGCCCAGAGTTTTTGTCTCACCTGCCATTGCACGTAGCATTGAAAACATAGATTTGAAAGGGAGTTCATATGGTAAAGATTATTGAGAATTTATCTTGAAATGAGATGGTTTCTTGAAATAAAGGTAAAGTATTTTGAAGTTAAGAACTCCAGAAATTTTCATTATGTAAAGCTCTTGCTGTAGTAAAATCAAATGAGATGAGAGATGGAATGATAAATTTTGAAAAATAATATTAAAAAAAACTTGTAAAATTTTTTTTGCCATACTAGTTGAAGTACATGTACTATGTTTTGCTACCCCTTTCCAAGGTTCCACTGGCTTGCCAACTGTTTATGAGGTACACAGGTGCATGCAAGGGATGGCTCCATTTCCCATGATTTATTCACCAAAACTTGGGAAGATATTTGTTTCTTAGACTGCACATTTAACTGAATGGTGCTCTTTGAAATACTTAGAAAATTTAAATTCACATTTTGCACTTTTATAGTATAAACTAGGCAACTAAGATTCAAAAGGGGAAAGTATTAGTCTCTGCTACCCATTTCCCCACTTTTTTGAAGTTTCTATATCCCTTGATGTATCCCATTCATGAAAGTGGATGGATGTAAAGATAATTTACAGATAAATTAAGTTTTGGTTGGAATTACAGCTCTTTGCACTTTGTGGCTCTATTATAAAGTACAGTTACAGTACTGTAGTTCCCATATGGTGAGAGATATTTCATGCTTATACATTAACCTATTTATAAATAAAAATTAATCAAAAGATTGCATGATTCAGTTGCTTTAACCTTTCGGCTTCGGGTCACATCCTATGACGTGTGTCTGTAGAGCTTCAGGTCACGTCACATGGTGTTTTGATCTTTCGTGGGCTAATTTGAATAAAAAGGGTGGGCCTGGCTAGATTATATTGTGAAGTAGGTATTTATCTCACTCATTCACACATGAGAGCCTCCCAGTCTCTTCTCAGTAGCTTCTCAGCTTTTGTGATGTAGGAATCTTGCCCTTGGACTTGACTCACTTCACCATGTGTTTCTACCCCCTTAACCCTCAAGCACAAGTCTAGTATTGTGAACAATTACTGGAGCAGTGATAATGATTGTTAATAATGTAAATACAGGCATCCCCCGCGTTACGGAAGCCCGGGTTATGGAATTTCGCTATTACGGAATTTGTAAATTATGACCAATAATTTTGCGTTTTGGCCCGTAAATCCGCCCTTACGGAAATTGGGGTAAATTTTAACAATTAAAAAAAAATCACTATATAAAATTAAAATTTTTTGTTAAAAATGAGAATTGGTTTTGTGTGGATTTCTTGGCGTTTGCTACCGCCAAGCGTGTCGTTGCCATGTGGAGTCATTCCATTGTTTACATCCAGTGTGCGCGCATGTTTTGCGCCCCAGCAGTTTGATTTAACTCTTACAAACATACAGTAAGTACAGTACAGTGCATTACCCTTATTCAAGATGACTGGAAAGAGGCCATCAAGTGGAAGTGACCGCAGTAGCGCAAAAAAAAGCCGCAAAAGTGAGTACAGTACAATATTTTTATTTATTCCAACTGTATTTCTCTTCATATTACATGTGTATCATAAATTATTTAATGTACTGTATTGTATGTGTTTATAAATTTTTATTTTCATTCATAAAAGTGCTTGAATTACCTTTTTTGGGGCCGAAAAAATTCCGTAGGAACACATCTCCAGTTTTATAATGGAAGTCAAAATGGGAAAATAGGTTTCACGTTTCTGTCAATTTTCCAGGAACGAAACCCTTCCATAACGCGGGGGATGCCTGTAGTAATAACATAGTAAAACAAGTGTCCTATACAGTATCTCATTTTTAGCAATGACATAATCCCAGGGCCCATTATTGGGTATGTTTGCCAATGATGGAGTAACCCTTTGGTAGGCTACTGTCATGCCCAAACCGGTAGAGGGGAAATTTCACCAACTGTTGGATGTTAAGAATCAGGAAATCAGCATATGCCTGGTCTCCCTACAGTACTTCATAACAACAAAAGGTTCATGATAAAATAGTAATGACTGCTCTGCCACTGCTTACTGAGTCAAAACAACTTGGTAATTTGTAAGATTGAAATAACTTAGATTGTTATTTTCAAATAAGATTTCTCTTCTTCATCAGCTATCTGTGCGTGCAGCTGACAACGGACAACACTCACTACAGAATTCATCAGTGATTCGAGTGATTATATCTAATGAGTTTGAGTTCCCACCCTACTTTTGCCTGGAAGGAATGTGTACTCAGAATATTTCTATGGTTGGTAAGTGCTAGTAAGACCCAGCTAGTCACAGCTGTATGTGACAAGAAACAGTATTGTTAGAAATATGTACGTATTGGTTTAATTTTTCCATATAAATTTATCATTTCACCTCCTATTATCAGCTTATTAACTGCTTGGGTAAATGTGAGAGAATTTTATTGATGAAATTTACTCAACATTACCAAAACTTAATGTTTTGAAGAATAACTAAGTAAGATCAGTGACCATTGCAGACATGAGAGCATATTGTCATAAGTCAATCAGGTCAGAATCTCCACCCAAGGTAGTGCCGGGGAGGGTAATCTTTTGGGGAGGTTAGGTCAAATGTGAGTTGACCATGTGACCTTGATCTGACCTTGCATGAACTGAGATCCACATTGACATCACAAGTTATTCCTACTGGTCTATTATCACAATGACCTGACCTGAATGTTGAAAGAGATAAAAAATTATCTCGCTTTGTACCTTTGAAAATATTGTGATAATTTGTTCCAATGCTTCTCTGTGATTTTTGACTGCAAATTACTATGTTTATGTATTGTGGATAATACAAATTTAGTAAGATAAATCGTTACCACAGTAGAACGTCGATTTAAAGTGATTCAATTTAAGATTATTAATTTAAAGCGACACCAACAATTAAGGTCAATGTTTTAATTTAAAGCGAATCTTTCCTATTTTGTGCGAGTTAATCTGGTGTTTCATATTTTAAAAGTGGCTCCTTATGTTTCTCTGGGCACGCTACACTGTCCTAAGGGCAAAGCTGTACTGTACATGTACTCAAAATAATGTACTAAATGATTACTAAAATTTTTGTCTAGTGCAAACTACAGTACAGGTTGACAACCCTTTATCCGAAATTCCGAAAGCCGAAAAGCTCTGAAAACCGAAGTTTTTTTTTTTTTTTTTATAATAACAGGGATTAGCACACCCAAGCATAGATCACTGACCCACATCGGGGCCTGGGGGGCGAAAATGTAATGGTAATAATAATTATAATAATAATAATAATTATTAATAGTAAATAAAAATAGAAAAATAAAAATACACCAAAATAAAATAATAATGATATCAGTAATAATAATACTAGAAAAATATATTAATAAAATTAATAATAATAATAACAATAATACTGTACTGTAATAATAAAATAATAATAATAAAGAAATACAAGAATGAAAAAAAGATCAAAAGTGAGAAACACGACCTAGACCTGTGAATTATTATTATTATAATTTTTATTATATTTTCGCTCCCCCTCCCCCTCCCCCAGGCCCAAATATGGATCAGTGATCTATCCCGGGGTGGGCTAATACACATTAAAAAAAAAAAAAAATTCTGAAAACCGAAAAATTCTGAAATCCGAAATTCCTCTGGCCCCAAGGATTTCAGATAAAGGATTGTCAACCTGTATAGCATGTTTATATTCAAATTAATCACTATCGTATAAGAATTCCAGCAATGTAAATTATATTCTCCCCAGTTACTTCTGTGACATTTTATAAACAAAAAACCAAAAACTCAAGTTAAAGGACATAAATAAATGCTTCACCAGACCTTCGGCTCCCAACTGTCAAGCGTGTCACTGTCACGCCCCCCCCAATCTTCCCAGCCAGGGTTCAGTGGTTATAGGCTTACAGTTTTTATCTTATATAATATCACAGACTAAAGTTAGGGGAATATAATTTACATTGCTGGAATCCTTGCAAGACAGCAAATGATTTGAATATAAACGTCATATATTTTGCACAAGAGATAAAAATTTTAGCCCTCTGTAATAAAATTAAATAGAACATGTCAGTTCAGTGACATTTTATAAGAGAAAAACTTAGTCACTCTTAAGGACAGATAAATAAATAAGCACTAGACCTTGGCTCAACTGTCAAACATATTGCCTCATCCCCCCCCCCCATCTTCCCATCAGCTGATTACTAGTAAGCAGACCATTTCAAGACCCATAATTTTAGCTGTGTTGATTTATGAGTGTTTGTTTTAATATAATACTACAAAAAACAATGTTTTGTTTATTCTAGGAGATGGGCTGAGGTGCATCTGGGTAGACTCTCAGTCTTTTTAGTGTTTTGTGTTTCTTTCAAGTACCAAACTAAATTATTCCATTGAAACAACACTTCGATTTAGTGCGAATTCTGTTTAAAGCGACCTCCCTTGGAACCTATCTCGTGTTATATCGACATTCTACTGTATATGAGGAACCTTTTTCAGCCTATAGGGAGAGTCAAAATTTACACCCAAAACAATCAGCTTATTGTAAAGCCTTGCTGCAACTTAGAGTACCATCACCATAAGGTAGTACAGTAAAGCCTCGATAACTTGGCACATATGGGGCTGTGGCCTTGTAGAGTTATCCCAAATTCCAATTTATCGAGGCACTTCCCCCCTCCTACAAAATAATAACAATAACACATTATCGACCCATATACTGTATGTGTACAGTACATGTAATTACTAAATGTAAAAAAAGTAACACTTACCAAAACTGCAGGCAAAGAAAGAATCATCATAGTAGGTGACACAGATGCATGGTAGGTGACAGGTATGGTCGGTGACACAGAGGTATGGTAGGTGACAGGTATGGTCGGTGACACAGAGGCATGGTAGGTGACACAGAGGCTTGGTAGCTGACACAGAGGCATGGTAGGTGACACAGAGGCCTGGTAGGTGATGTAGATGGCCAGATATGCGGAGATTTTCCCAGATAATTTTATATATCTCAGCATTTCCCGAGTTGTACTATAATACATTCCGAGACCATATCCATGCCGAGTTATATGAAATTCCGAGTTATCAAATGCCGAGTTATCAATGGTTTACTGTACAGTATAATACTGTATATAAGTAATGGCATTAAGGTTTCATGAAGCCTTGAAAAGCTTTGGCTTCATGACATTATAATGGCCTTGGCTTCATTCCCATGCCTTATATATACAGTACATATATTGGATAAGTTACTGGGGTTATCTTGTCAGTCATCAATGATCTAAATTCCCTTTTGGTCTCCAGTCAATTGTTATGACACCTTAAATTTGCATGTGTTATGTCCAGTAATTTAATGTTCTACTGTAAAGTGTATTAGCTTAATACAGTACAGTACTGTATCTTGTTTTTCTAACAGTAAGTTTATGCAGGTAAAAGTACTGGTTATTGGTAAATTTTAGCTTTAAGCCCATTATAAGCACTGCCTTTAATAATGAATATATGTATTTGAAAACAGAGAATGAACCAGATGTCACTGAAAAATTTAAGGAAGCATATGACGAAGATAATAAAAATCTTCACCCTGGTGATGCTGACTACGAGGAGGTCTACTATGAAATCATAGGTAGGTGAAGGCAAGGACATTACTTTGTAACTTAGCTCCATTCAATCATGTAACAGTACAGTAGTATGAATCATTGCTCTGTACAGTACAGATTAAGATAGGATTTAATTTGTTATGTCCATCTGGGGATGGGGGATTTCATTCCGTGTTCAAGAGATGACGTAATGTGCAATTTTTGGAACTTCCGAGAAAATTTTCCCAGTACCCGGAAAGTTCCGGGGATGAGAAGTTTTATTCCGGCTTTGAGAGAGTTGTCCCATTACCCGGAAATCTCTTATTCCTGGAACTGCTCTGCACCAATTGTTCCAGCCTACGGAGATATCACTCATGTGTTTATATATATATATTGTGATAAGTATAATTATAAATGAGCAAAGTTGTATCCCTTCAACATTACATTACATAGCATTTTAAAATATGGAGTGAGAAACCAGAAAGATGTGGGTAATTAGAGATGGAGTGGAAATGAGTGCTGCCAGGTGCTCCTCAACATCTGATATTTAACTCGCTACCATGCATTCATGCAGATGTGCCATACAATAAGACCCTCACTCCTCATGCTTGCTGTCTTAATTCCCTTGTTGGGGGTGTGTGAGTGGTGATTGGAATGTGTGTGGGGGGGTAATGTTGGGGTGTACGTGCAGTTGTTGGAGGGTGTGTGTAGTTGGTTGTTGGAGTGTGTATGTATGTGTAATGTTGGGGGTGTGTATGATGTTGGGGTGTGTGATGTGTGGGTGATGTGGTGTTGGTGGTGTGTGTTGGTGATGTAGAGGTGTGTGGGTGGTGGTGGTATGGGTGTGATGTGGTGTTGGTGGTGTGTGTGGGTGATGTAGAGGTGTGTGGGTGGTGGTGGTGTGATGTGGTGTTGGTGATGTGGTGGTGGTGGTGTGTGTGGGTGTTGTAGAGGTGTGTGAGTGGTGTTGGAAGGTGTGTGTATGGGTGGTTGTTGGAGGGTGTGTTTGTGTGTGATGTATGGGTGTATGTGTGATGTTTGGGTGGTGTTGGTGTGTGTTGATGGAAGCGAACCTTTTTGGGGGGTAGGGTCGCATGGTCAGTCCCCCCACCCCCCCTCCCTCACTCAAACGTGGCCAATTGTGATAGGGAGATGAATTTGATACCATAATAATCCATAATAAATTCTCTACGAAACATTTCCAATAAGATGATATCCTTAAATGAAATATTTCTATATGATATAGTGATGGGAATTCTATTCGTTTATATACAGTGGTCCCTCAGTTAACGAGCACAATCCGTTCTAGAAGGTTGCTCGTTAACCAAAAAACTCGTTAACCGAAACCATTGTTTCAATGGGTTTTGGGTAATTGGTTCCAGCTCACCGAAAATTGCCTAAATTCAATAAAAATGGTAGAAAAGTACACTTACTTTGAGGTGTGTACGTAGAAGGCTCCTGGATGATGATGATGATGATGGGAATTAGAATGGGGGTGGAGGAGAAGGGAGAAGAGAAGGCATTGGGATGGAAGAGAAGTCACCCCATGGCACCATTTCACCCATAAAATTTTAGTTCTCTTGGTGTAATTCAAGATTATTTTCTTTAAATCAACACTGCACTTGGGCGTGAACCTGACAGATGACACCGACCTGATAACGAGATCTGAGATTGTCGAGTTCTGCGACAATTTAAATAATGAGTTACTTAATGCACAAAGGCAGAACATACCATACAAAAAACTCAGATCAGACAACAATGAGCCTAAATGGATAAATAATTATTTAAAGAACATTATTGGCCAAAGGAAGGCTATAGGTAGAAGGATAAACCGTGGCGAAATTTACCTCTGGGAGTATTATAAGGTATTGGCCGGTAGGGTTAAGACCGAGATAAGAAAAGCAAAGAGGAATAATGAACTGAAGATAGCAAGGGAGGCGAAGACAAACCCCATAGGATTCTACCAAATGTATCAAACTAAAACACGAGATAAGATTGGACCAATACAGTCAGATACCGGCGAGCTTACTGATAACGACGGCGAAATGAGCAATAATCTGAATAAATATTTTTCAACAGTTTTCACCACCGAAAATTTAAACATGATACCCGAGGCTCCGACTCTATTCAGAGATAGTGAAGAAGACAAATTAAGCGAGATAGTAGTGACTAGTAACGATGTAAATAAGCAAATAGACAAACTGAAGCCTGATAAGTCACCTGGTCCCGATGAGATATTTGCCAGAATATTAAAGGAATGTAAGGAAGAGCTTAGTATGCCCTTAGCAAAGTTGTTTAATATGTCATTAAAAACAGGTGTAGTACCAGAATCCTGGAGGATAGCGAATGTAATACCGATTTTCAAGAAGGGGGATAGATCACTATCCTCTAACTACTGCCCAATCAGTCTAACATCAATAGTAGGCAAATTACTAGAATCAATCATTTCAAACTCTATTCGAAACCACCTGGAGAAGCACAAGATGATCAATGATTCCCAACATGGCTTCACATGCGGGCGTTCATGTCTAACTAATCTATTAACATTCTTTTCATCAGTTTTCGAATCGGTGGACGAGGGGCACAATTATGATGTGGTATATCTCGACTTAGCAAAGCCTTCGACAGAGTCCGCCACGAAAGACTAATTAAAAAGGTAGAAGCGCATGGCATCAAAGGTAATATCCTTAAATGGATTAGGGCGTGGTTACGGGACAGGAAACAGCGAGTGAGCATAAACGGCACTAAATCGCATTGGAGCAACGTCACTAGTGGAGTTCCCCGAGGCTCAGTACTTGGACCATTATTATTTATCATATACATAAACGACATAGATATCGGCATAGACAGCAACAGTAAATTTGCTGATGACACTAAAATAGGACGTGTAATGAAATCTGACGAGGACTCTGCAAAACCACAGGAAGATCTAAACAAGTTTTTCGAATGGTCGGAAAAATGGCAGATGAAATTCAATGTGGACAAATGTAAAGTACTCAGTATAGGAGATGTAAACAGGGAAACCAGTTACCAGATGAACAACGATGCCATTGTGAAATCCGACTGCAAGAGAGATTTAGGAGTAATGATAAATAGGAATCTTTAGCCAAGTAAACAATGTGTTTTTGCTCGTAACAAGGCTAATAAAGTACTTGGTTTCATACAAAGGAGTGTTAGTTACAAGACTAACGAGGTCATCTTAAAATTATATTTAGCGCTTGTGAGACCTCACCTGGATTACGCAGTTCAGATCTGGTCACCGTATTACAGAATGGATATAGAATCCTTGGAAAGAATCCAGAGGAGAATGACAAGACTAATCCCGAGCATTAGGAACCTTGAGTACAGAGACAGGTTAAAGCATCTTAATTTGCACTCCCTCGAGAGACGTAGAGTGAGGGGCGACATGATAGAGGTGTATAAAATGAAGTCAGGGTTAAACAAAGGGGACATTACAAAGTTACTCAAACTATCCAGCCAGGAGCGAACTCGCAACAACGGTTTTAAATTAGACAAATTAAGATTTCGGCGTGAAATAGGTAAACACTGGTTTGGAAACAGAGTAGTGGATGAATGGAACAAGTTACCAAATATCATCATTAACTCGAATACGCTGGATCGCTTCAAACGTAGGTTGGATGCTTATATGAGCAATAGGGGTTGGGTATAAACGGGACTGCCCAGTATGGGTCAATATGCTCGCTGCAGTTTCCTCCATTCTTATGTTCTTGTGTTCTTATCAGCATATACCTGGATCACGCACACCCACAGTGATTTACTTGCATATATATATATACCTGTATATATATATATATATATATATATATATATATATATATATATATATATATATATATATATATATATATATATATATATATATATATATATATATATATATATATATATACACACAGTTGTACCCCACTTAACGCGGTCAATAGAACCCAGAGGGTCCCGTGTTAAGTGAAATCCGCGTTAAGTGAACAACAGAACATATGGGATTAATTCCAATAGAAACCGGCCCGACCCCCAAACTCCACTTTTTGAAGACACATAACTATGTTGTAGTAAAAATAACATCTTAATTTTATGATGGTACATGCACACAATTAATACTTAAGAGAAATAGAGAAATACAGTCGCCAAGTTAATGTCCATTCAAATAATGGACTCAACTCCCTCCCCCTCTCACACTACACTGCCGGCTCTTCCCTCTCTGAGAAATTTTTGGGGGAAAACCACTAAATTTTAATAAATAATACCTCAAACTAAAGTTAGGATAATACAATTGACATTGCTGGATTCCTTGTAAGACCAGGAATATTTTGAATATAAATGTCATATATTTTGCACAAAAGATAACATACTTACTCAGATTAAAAATTTTATCTAAAATTTGTATGTCTAATGCAAAATATATGATGTTTATATTCAAAATGATCATCAAATTATAAGAATTCCAGCAATGTAAATTATATTCTGACCGGGTAATTTGTATGAATTTTATGAGCTAAAACAAATATCTTCAGTTAATAAAAAAAAAAAATATTCTTCACAGGGTAACAGATGGTCGGTCGGTCCCTCCCTCCCCCCACCCCCCACCAACCGTCCCAAGGAGATGTGTGGGAAAACCAGAATACTTAACTTTTTTGTAATAAATAATACCTCAAACTAAAGTTAGGATAATATAATTGACATTGCTGGATTCCTTGTAAGACCAGGAATATTTTGAATATAAATGTCATATATTTTGCACAAAAGATAACATATTTACTCAATAGTAAACATTTTATCTAAAATTTGTATGTCTAATGCAAAATATATGATGTTTATATTCAAAATGATAACCAAATAATAAGAATTCCAGCAATGTAAATTATATTCTGGCCGGGTAATTTGTATGAATTTTCTGAGCTAAAACAGGCAGTCAGGCAGGGTGGCGGGTGGGGCAAATCTAAAAATAGCGTCTCGAGCCGGACACTCACCGCGTATATGATGAAAAAATCCGCGTTAAGTGAAAGTTCAGCTCTGGCGAGGCACCGCG